AAAATACCCATATTTTAAAAATCCATTAAAAATTTAAATTTATTTACACTTAAAAGGGAGAAGATTTAGGCCGAGGCCAGCTTGATGAAACAAAAGCGTCTTCAACTCGCGGCGGAAGGTGCGCAGATCCGGAATCCTCCGTATCTCTGGGGGGAGCTCATTCCAGATTGTCGGTGCCCCCACAGAGAGGCTCTCCCCCTAGGGGCGACAGCCGACATTGTTTGGCCGACGGCACCTGGAGGAGCCCCTCTCTGGGAGCGTACTGGTCGGTGGGAGGCTGTTGATGGTAGTAGGCGGTCCCGTAAGTAACCAGGTCCCAAGCCATGGAGCGCTTTAAAGGTGGTAACCAGAACCTTGAAGCGCACCGGAAGACACCGGGAGCCAGTGCAGCTCGCGCAGGAGAGGTGTTACATGGGAGCTCCATGTTGCTCCCATAACCACCCGCGCGGGCCGCACTCTGCGCCAGTTGGAGCCTCCGGGTGCACCTCAAGGGGAGCCCCATGTAGAGAGCATTACAATAGTCCAGACGAGAGGTGACGAGGGCATGAGTGACTGTGCGTAACGAGTCCCGATCTAGAAAGGGACGCAACTGGCGAATCAGGCGAACCTGATGAAAAATCCTCCCGGTCACGGCCGTCAAGTGCTCTTCTAAAGACAGCCGTGAGTCCAGGAGGACGCCCAAGTTACGAGCCCTTTCCGTGGGGGCCAATGATTCGCCCCCAATAGCCAGCGATGGCGCCAGCTGACTATATCGGGACGTCGGAAACCACAGCCACTCGGTCTTGGATGGGTTGAGCCTGAGCCGTTTCTCCCCATCCAGATCCGCACGGCCTCCAGGCACTGGGACATCACTTCAAGGGCATCGTTGGGGTGGTCCGGGGTGGAGATGTACAGCTGGGTGTGGTCATCAGCGTACAGATGGTACTTCACCCCGAAACCACGGATGATCTCACCCAGCGGCTTTACATAAATGTTGAACAGAAGGGGCGAGAGAACCGATCCCTGCGGCACCCCACATATAAGGGGCCTCGGGGTTGATCTCTGCCCCCTGTCAAACAGAACTGCGACCGGTCAGAGAGAAAGGAGGAGAACCACCGTAAAAACAGTGCCTCCCACCCCCAACCCTTCCAGCCGGTGCAGCATGATACCATGGTCGATGGTATCAAAAGCCGCTGAGAGGTCTAACAGGACCAGGACAGAGGAACAACCCCTGTCCCGAGCCCTCCAGAGATCATCAACCAACGCGACCAATGCCGTTTCCGTGCTGTACCCGGGCCTGAAGCCCGACTGGAACGGATCTAGATCTAGTGTTTTGTTTATTGTTTTTAATTAATGGGCCAAATTTATATATATATATATATATTAACTGTATTTTAATATTTGTACTTGATGTTTTTACCTGGCTGTTCACCGCCCTGAGTCCTCAGGGAGAAGGGCGGTATACAAATTCAAAATAAAATAAAAAATAAAAATAAAATAAAACCTTAGAAAAGCCACGCCTGCATCCAGTTTTTGGTCCCCAGATGACAAAAAGAACGTTGAGACTTTGCAAAGAAGAGCAACTAAGGTTATTACAGGCCTGGAGACTAAAACATAGGAAGAACGGTTGCAGGAACTGGGCATGGCTAGTCTAGAGAAAAGAAGGACTAGGGGGGACATGATAGCAGGATTCCAGTATTTGAGGGGCTGCCAGAAAGAAGCGGGGGTCCACTTATTCTCCAAAGCACCAGACGAGAAACAATGAATGGAAACTAACCAAGGAGAGAAGCAACCTGGAAGTAAGGAGAAACTTAAGGAGAAAAGACAATTAACCAGTGGAACAGCTTGCCACCAGAAGTGGGTGCTCCATCACTAGAGATTTTTAAGAAGAGACTGGGCAGCCACTTGTCTCAAATGGTATAAGGCAGGGCAGTGGTGAAATCCAAATATTTTTACTACTGGTTCTGTGGGCGTGGCTCGGTGGGCATGGTGTGGCTTGGTGGCCATGACAGGGGAAGGATAGTGCAAAATCCCCATTCCCTCTTCACTCCTGGGGGGAAGGTACTACAAAATCCCCATTCCCTCTCCATTCCTGGGGGAAGGATACTACAAAATCCCCATTCCCACTCCACTCCTGGGGAAGGATACTACAAAATCCCCATTCCCTCCCCACTCCTGGGGGAAGGAGACTACAAAATCCCATTCCCACCCCCACTCCTGGGGGAAGGATACTACAAAATCCCCATTCCCACCCCACTCCTGGGGGAAGGATACTACAAAATCCCCATTCCCTCCCCACTCCTGGGGGAAGGATACTACAAAATCCCCATTCCCACCCCCACTCCTGGGAGAAGGATACTACAAAATCCCCATTCCCTCCCCACTCCTGGGGAAGGATACTACAAAATCCCCATTCCCTCCCCACTCCTGGGGGAAGGATACTACAAAATCCCCATTCCCTCTCCACTCCTAGGGGAAGGATACTACAAAATCCCCATTCCCTCCCCACTCCTGGGGGAAGGATACTACAAAATCCCCATTCCCACCCCCACTTCTCGGGGTAGGATACTACAAAATCCCATTCCCTCCCCATTCCTCGGGGAAGGATACTACAAAATCCCCATTCTCTCCCCACTCCTGGGGGAAGGATACTACAAAATCCCCATTCCCTCCCCACTCCTGGGGAAGGATACTGCAAAATCCCCATTCCCACCCCACTCCTGAGGGAAGGATACTACAAAATCCCCATTCCCTCTCCACTCCTGGGGGAAGGATACTACAAAATCCCCATTCCCTCCTCCACTCCTGGGGGGAAGGATACTACAAAATCCCCATTCCCACCCCCACTCTGGGACCAGCCAGAGGTGGTATTTGCCGGTTCTCCGAACTACTCCAAATTTCCGCTACCGGTTCTCCAGAACCTGTCACAACCTGCTGGATTTCGCCCCTGGGGCAGCGGTTTCAAACTCAAGATCCACGTCGGATCTGGCTGGCGGGGCCATCCTGGTCTACCCAGCGTGAAGAAGAAAAATCAGGTCAATGTGGCGTCATACATGCCAGCAGTTTGGGGAGTGGCGTCAATTTGGGCCACGCCCACCCAGTCAGCCACGCCCCCACGCCCGCCTCCCTGAGGTCAACCACAGCCCTGATGTGGCCCTCAATGAAATTGAGTTTGGTGGAGGGTCTCCTGTTTGAGGAGGTGGGAAGACCTCCAAGGTCCCTTCCAGCTGATTCTTCTTCCTTTCTCTCCAGGGAGCTGACCATCTCACCACGTATACCTTCAACACTCACTCCGCCCAGCACACCTTCTGTAAGACGTGCGGCGTCCAGAGTTTTTATACCCCGCGTTCCAATCCAGACGGTTACGGTAACGATAACGATTTCAGGGCAGAGGGTGGGGTAGCTCGTTCGAATCCAGACGTTCTCTCCCGGGAAATGAATCCGTCGTCTTTTTTTTTTTTTTTAAATAACCCTGTGTCAGGTTTCGATGTCATCTCAAATAAAATAAATTGCATTTCCAAACAGATAAGTCTTTGAAGAAATCTTTCATTTTATTGAGCACGACAATCTGGCCCCGATCGTGGCATAGCCAACTCTGACTTCCTGACCCTAAACCTTCCCTTTCCATTCCCCAATTCTCTGTGTCTCATTGGCCGTCTTCCAAATCACTCTCCCCATATCTACTACTTCAGCTCCCAGGAATGTCCCTCCTCCCATCTCATCTCCTAGGGGATATTATCTTCAGGGAAAATAAGTAGGTGAAATGTCAAGCGTCCTCTTGCCAGCTGCCCCCCTCTTCTCCTCCTTATGTCAGCACTAGAGTAAATGCAGGTTGAAGTGCTGACACCCTGGTTCTTCTCAATGTAAGAGCCTTGGGTGGCGCAGCAGACTAAGTGCTGTTAACTAGCACCAGCTGCCTGCAATTACTGCAAGTTCAAATCTCACCAGGCTCAAGGTTGACTCAGCCTTCCATCCTTTCGAGGTAGGTAAAATGAGGACCCGGATTGTGGGGGCAATAAGCTGACTTTGTATAAAAAGGAACACCGCTTGGGGGGGCCGAAAGCCCTACTAAGCAGATATATACAAAAGTATGAAGGCTATTGCTTAACGCATTATAAGCCGCCCTGAGTCTCTGGAGAAGGGCGGCATATAAATCGAACCAATAAATTTTAATTTTCCGGGACTGCAGCAGATGTAGGTTTTTCCTCTAGGCTGCAATTGAAAGCTGTTCCATTTTTTGTAGTAGTTGCAAAGCTAAACCTTCGCATATTTCATACCTGTGAAAAGTATTTTATGGCCAAAAAAAAAACCCCCGCATAATTTTCTTTTAAGAGCCTGCAAACACACTCCTCCTATTCCATTTGTGACGGGTGTATAGGCAGTCCTCAACTTAACAATTCGTTTAGTGACCATTCAGAGTTTACAACAGCACTGAAAAAAGTGACTTATGACCGGGGTGAAATGTAAAATTTGTTACTACCGGTTCTGTGGGCGTGGCTTGGTGGTGGTGGTGGGGGGTAATGTGACTGGGTGGGCGTGGCCAGCTTTTTTTTGTTTTTAACTTTTCAAAGTATTTTTTCTAATGCTTTGAAAAGCCTCTGCCCATCAGGCCACTCAGCTGGGATCGTCAGAGACTTTTCAAAGCATTTTTTTTTAACCACCTCTTCGGCCGAAGAGGTTGCAGAAAAAAAATGCTTTGAAAAGCCTCTGACGATCCCAGCTGAGCTGTGGGATCATCAGAGGCTTTTTTTTTTTTTTTTTTTTTTTACTTTTAAAAACATTTTTTCGGCAGAAGAGGTTGTGGAAAAAATGCTTTTAAAAGTTAAAAAAAAAAAAAGGTTCTGATGATCGCTGCGCTCAGCTGGGCAATGCGGGGGGGGGAACAGGGATTTTTGCTACCAGTTCTCCGAACCACCCGCCACCATCGCTACCGAACCGGGAGCATTTCATCCCTCCTCCAAGGTCTTTTCCCATGTTGTTTTTCGGCTACAGCTGCCTCTTTCTCTCTCTCTCTCTCCCCGCAGGAATCGCGCCCCATTGCCTGGATGATGGGACCATCACCAAGATCACGGTGGAGCCGATCAATGGGAAGGAATGGGAGAAAGCGGTGAAGGGCCACCCGACTATCAGGAATATGTCGAAGCCTTGACTGTCCTTTTTTCTGGAAAAACCTTCTTTTAATTCGGGTTTCGTTTAGGAAACCAAAAGGTGCCATTTTGTATGTGTGTGTGTATCTCTCTCTCTCTCCTGCCTATTTCCTCCATCGGATAGAATAGCGGCATAGAAACAGGACTCTCTCGATCCGACGCATCAAAAAAATACGTGTAAAATATTTCTTTCCTACCTTGAGAAAAAAAGAGCGATTGAGATTTAAATGTCGCAAGACCCAAAAACTTACACCATCGATGTTTGCTCATGGTGCAAAGATCCAGAGGGGAATTTCCAAGAGGGCCTCCCCCCCCACCTACGGATAGTCCTCGACTTACCACTTTTCATTTAGCGACCGCTGGAAGTTTTACATCATCATTGAAATCATTGCCCGGCCCTCCTGTCGGAGCCAAAGAAGCTTCTTGGATGAGAAGGGAAACGTCTTCTTGTGGGAGCTTCATCACGGGGGGGCTTTCAAGGGGAGATCGGACTGCCATTTGTCGGGGATGGTGTAGGGGGTCTCTTGCTTGAGCGGGGGGTTGGACTAGATGACCTCCAAAGGTCCCTTTCCAACTCTGTTAATCTATCTAATAGTGTCTTCAAAGAAAAAAATCAGAAAGTCCAAGTTGCCTCTTGAAAGAAAAAAAAAAAAAGCATTTTTTGGGACAACCTGGATGACGGAGGACCTCCATAAACATTTAGCATTGAAAAAAAAAAGTGACTTATGACCGATTTTCACACTTAACGACCATTGCAGCATCCCTAGGGAATCACGAGAACAAAATTCGGACGCTCGCTAACCGGTTCGTTTTTATGACGGTCGCGGTGTCCCGGGATCACGGGATCCCTTTTTGTGACCTTCTAAAAGGCTAAATCCACGGGGAAAGCCAGGCCCACTTAAAAACCGCGTTCCTAACTTCGCCCCTGCAGTGATTCACTTAGTAACGGTGGCTGGGAAAAAAACGTTGTACAGCGGGGCCAAACTCGCCGAACCAAGTGTCTCGCTCAACAACGGAAATTCTGGGCTCAATTACGGTCGTTACGTTGAGGATTACCTGTATTTTGGGGGTCAAGGAGATCTCCTCCAATGGAAGCAGGAGATTCCATCTAACTGAGATTCCTTTCTTAATTAAGACGGCCTGAAGATTCGGAGAAGATCTCCATTATTTAAAAAAAAATAAAAGAAAAAAATGAATTCTTAAAGATTTTTTTTTATCGGAAGGAAGCGCTGATCCATCAGAAATGATCCATCATTTCTCTGGAGGCCTCATTTTATGACGGTCTTTAATTCGACCCGTGGCTTAACCTTGTGGCCAGAGCTGCCCAGCGTTAAGAAACTTGGTTTGTCCTGCCGAGTGGGGGGGGGAAATGTCTTTTGTGTATTGTGTGAATGCCTAAAGTGGCTTCATTTCAGTTTTCGGTTTTAGCGTTTAGGTATGAATGCTGTTTTAAACGTCGCTTTGTCCAAAACGACACTTTTCACTTTTTTGAGGAATTTCTTGTTTTGGAAAAAAAAAAAAAAGGAATAAAAATAAAAAAAAACACGTATTTTTAAAACGTTTGTTCGTTTTATTTCGATTCATTTTGAAGGGAAGGGAGTGGAGGGATATTCCCCATCCTTGTGCAAAATACTGTTATTTGTAAAACCACACGCAATAATACACAAAAGTGTGCGGAGAAGAGCAACGAAGGAGTTGTGGGTAATTCCAACACGGGATGTGTTTAGGAATTCGCCGAGCAACCCTTGAGTAGCAAGGGTGTGCACATGAAAACGATTGAGAGTAGTTAGGAAATAATGCAGCCAACACAGAGATACACTGAGTTGTGTTTACTGTCAACTTGCAAAGCTTTCAAGTTGCCATGAGCAGGAGGGAGGGAGAACTGATAGAGCTGATTGATTTTCCTAACTGAAGCTGCATTCCATAGATGCTTTCTTACCGCAATCAGTCGGAGGGTGTTGGGTTTCACAGCCAGCCAAAGTGGGTAATTGGAGAATGTGATTTATGACATGGCCAGAGAGGAGGGGAGAGACAGGGTCATAGGGGAACGTAAATCTACGTGGGATCAGTCCTAACTGCATCCCAGTATTGCCGGAATGTTGCTCCAAATAAATGACTATATTTCCTTTGAAGTTTGGATCATGGCTCATGAATTAATTAGGGCATCTTTCAGAAACTTGACATTTACTTTCAGGAAATAGTAATAAGGCACAGTCCAATAAACAGTCCAGGTCATTCACATATAAAGCAGTAGATGGTTAAACAATAGTCCAGGGATAATCCAATAACAAAGTCTTCTTACCAGTCGTTGTAGTCATCCACAATAAACAGTTCCAAACAGTAACAGTATCTCCGCAGGGATGATGTTTCACAGGGAGGGAGCCACCACGGAGAGGGCCCTTCCTGGTCCCACCAGAGGGACCTCCTTAAGAGAGGAGAGCCGTAACATCTTCAGTTGGTTCAGACCGGTTCGCCAAAACTGGTAGCAGAAATCACGGCTGGGCTGCCCATCTGCCCCTGCTCTATGTCGTCCTATTTAGGGATGTTTTTGAGACCGGGTGTATGCACAGAAGGCCAAGCGCATGCACGAAGGCAGGTGTGCGCAGGCACGATGCGAGCGTGCGCGCGGCGAACCGGTAGCACCACAATGTGCAACCCACCACTGCAGGGATGATGTTCCATGTGGAGGGAGCCACCACAGAGAAGGCCCTTCCTGGTCCCACCAGATGGACCTCCTTAAGAGAGGAGAGCCTTAACATCTTATTTCCACAGGGATGCAGAGGTGGTATTCAGCCGGTTCGCACCGGTTCGCCTGAACTGGTAACAGAAATCATGGGTAGGCCTGCCCACCTGCCCCTACTCTATGTCGTCCTATTTAGGGATGTTTTTGAGGCTCGGCGAGGAAATTGCATGCACGGAAGGCAGGTGCGTGTGAACCGGGCGCACGCACGCACAAAGTGAGTATGCGCGCGGCGAACCGGACTACCATACTGTGCAACCCACCACTGCAGGTATGATGTTCCACGTAGATGGAGCCGCCACAGAGAGGGCCCTTCTCGGTCCCACCAGATGGACCTCCTTAAGAGAGGAGAGCCATAACATCTTATTTCCTTTCTTCCACGGAGAAGTCCCTTCTTCTTGGTCCTGCTAGATTGTTCCGCTCGGCCGGGACCTAGAGAGTCACATCTTCCTCCCTTTTTTTCTCTCTGGGTCTCCAGCTCCTCCGTTAGAGGAAACGCAGCGAGTTGACCACCATGTAGCGGGAGAACCTCACGTACAGACGGCGGAACCAGAGCAGCTGACTGTGGTGGCACCGCATTGCTCTCTGGAAAGATAAGAAAGCATTAGATTTTAGGGACGTGGTGGCTCAGTGGCTAAGACGCTGAGCTTGTCGATCAAAAGATCGGCAGATCAGTGGTTCGAATCCCTAGTGCCGCGTAACGGGGTGAGTTCCCTTGACTTGTCCCAGCTCCTGCCAACCTAGCAGTTCGAAAGTACGTAAAAAATGCAAGTAGAAAAATAGGAACCACCTTTGGTGGGAAGGGAACAGCGTTCCGTGCGCCTTTGGCGTTGAGTCATGCCGGCCACATGACCACAGAGACGTCTTCGGACAGCGCTGGCTCTTCGGCTTTGAAACAGAGATGAGCACCGCCCCCTAGAGTCAGGAACAACTAGTATGTATGCGTGAGGGGGAACCTTTACCTTTATAGGCAAGGAGAACAATGCAAGGGAATGGTTTGGGTGAAACCACCTGGTCCTTGACTTTCAACAGTTCATTTAATGACCAAACTTACAACTGAAAAAAAAATGAGCCTTTTTCACATGACCGTTGCAGCATTTTCCATAGTCACGTGATCACAAAATTCAGAGTCTTGGCAACTGGGATGTACTGATGACGGTTGCAGCTTTCCGGTGGGGGAGGGTTGTGTGTGTCACATGACCCCCTTTTGCGACCTTCTGACCAGCAAAGTCCACGGGAAGCCAGATTCGCTTAACGACCGTGTGACTCACTCAACAACTGCAGCGACTCACTTAAGAACTAGGCGAGAGTTTCTTAAGAGCTAGTTTCTTGTTTCTTTTTTGTTTTAGTACTGTGTTAATGTATATGTGTTCGTATGTATTTGTGTTTTACGTCTGTTCATGTTAATAAACATGATGGCTGGCAAAGTGCTGCAGGAGGCCGTCCAGGCTGAAAAAGTGGCACGGGTCTCCCCGTGCCCCGTTTTGGCTGCCAGGGGCACCATCTTTGCTATTTCCAGGGGGCCAGATTTAAGCCCCCGTAGGCCGGATTTGTCCCACCGGCCTCGAGTTTGACACCCCTTCTCCAGATCTTCCTGTCTATGAGGGGTCCTTGGTCCTCTCTGAGCTTGCTTGCTTTCTGGCTGATGTTTTGCAGATGTTTTCTCGCAAACGTCTAGAACTGATGACGTTACCTAGTTTGGGGTCTACAAGGAAGCCTAGGCCACCGAGCGCCTCGGGCAGTGATGGCTAAACTTTTTGCCATCGCGTGCCAAAAGTGGGGGGGGTGGAGCGGGGGGGGTGTTGGGCGCGCATGTGCCCACACCCATAATTCTATGTACCCCGCCCCCACGCATGTTTGCGCGATCCCCTCCCCCGTGCTTCCCCCGCTTTTGGCATGTGATGGCACAGTGGGCCAGGTAGGCCCGTTTTTCAGCCTCCCAGGCTCCAGAGCCTTTCTAGGAGCCTGGGGAGGGCAAAAACTGCCTTCCCCAGTCCCCTGGAGGCCCTCCGGAGGCCGGAAACAGCCTGTTTGCCGACTTCCGGTGGCCCAGAAGGCCCAAAAATCAGCTGACTGGCGTGCGCGTGTGCACCAGAGCTGAGGTCGCGTGGCCACCAATATGGTGCTGCGTGCCACCTGTGGTTCGCCACCACGGGCCTAGGGCGCCAAAGACCACTCCTTTCAACCTTGAGCTGCTGCTTTCAACCCTGTAGGTCCCTGACTTACGACCACAACAGCACCCTAGATTTCAGTTGCGAAGCGAGGCATGTTTGCTAAATGAGTTTTGTCCCCGTTTCACGGCTTATCCTGCCCCCGTTGTTAAGTGAATCCCTGCAGTTGAAAAGCCAGGGACCAGGTTGTTCAGCGAATCTGACTTCCCCCATGGACTTCGCTGGTCGGGAGGTCGCAAAAAAGGAACCCCGGGACGCCGCAACGGTCCTAAATATGAATCAGTTGCCAAGCAACCCGAATTTTGATCACGGGGATGCCAGAAAAGTCGTCACGGTGAAAAGTGGTCCTAAATCACTTTTTTCACTGAACGGTCACTAAATGGACTGTCGTAAGTCGAGGGACTAACTCTATCCTCCTTTATTGACTTCCTGGGTATGGAAACCAATTGCTGGGGACTTTTTCTGGATGGGAAGAAGGACGTCATCAAACGTACCTTGGCCAGTTCTGCTTCTTTTTCCGTCGCTATAAAGAGAACATCCTGGTTTTGGTAACTGCTGAGCGGAGCGTCCCAGATGGAAATGTATTTCCGGAAAACGTTCACCGTCTCCAGGATGAGGAACCGACAACCTGTGTGAGAAACACAAACAGCGGGTGAAATCCAACACCTGCCTTTGTCTTCTCGCCTTCGTAACTTGTTTTTCCAAAGCAAGTCTCGGCAAGCCCAGGAGATTTCTACCGTGGCCCCAGGTGACCCCTTTGGATGATTCGACTTATAATACGTGGTTGCGAAGGGATAACAATTCACAACAGGTTAACAGAGTTGGAAGGGACCTGTAGGTCATCTAGTCCAACCCCCCAACCAAGCAGGAGACCCTACACCAGTGATGGCTAACCTTTTTGCCGTCGCGTGCCAGGAAAGGGGGGGGTGGGGGGAAGTTTGCCCGTGCGTGTGCCCACACCCATAATTCTATGTGTCCCGCCACATGCATGTGAGTGCGACCCCCCCCCTTGCCCCCCCCCACTCCTGGCACGCGATGGCCCAGTAGGCCCGTTTTTCTTTCTCACGTGGCTCCAGATCCTTTCTATGCATCTGGGGAGGGCGAAAACAGCCTTCCCCACCCCCTCGGAGGCTGGAAGTTGAGAAACGGGCCATTTCGGGCCTCCGAGGAACTGGGGAAGGCTGTTTTCGCCCTCCCCAGATGCATAGAGAGGACCTGGAGCCAGGGAGAAAGAAAAACGGGCCTCCCCTCCCCCAGGCCCTCTTCTGGTGGGCCCAAAAGGGCCAAAAATCAGCTGACAGAGCTGAGCTGAGCTGGCATGCCAGGCAACATGACTCTGCGTGCCACTTGTGGCATGCGTGCCATAGGTTCGCCATCACGGCCCTACACCACTTCTGACAGATGGCAGTCCAGTCTCTTCTCGAAAGCCTCCAGTGATGAAGCTCCCACAACTTCTGGTGGCAAGCTGTTCCATGGGTTGATTGTTCTCACTGTCAGGAAATTCCTCCTTATTTCCAGGTTGAATCTCTCCTTCATCAGTTTCCATCCATTGTTCCTTGTCTGGCCTTCGGGTGATTTGGAGAATAGGTTGACCCCCTTCCTCCTCTCTGGGGCAGCCCCTCAAATATTGGAAGATGCTCTCCTGTCTCCCCTGGTCCTTCTCTTCACTAGACCAGCCATGTCTTCTGTCCATCTATGGTTCATTCAGATGTCTTTCTTTCTTTCTTTCTTTCTTTCTTTCTTTCTTTCTTTCTTTCTTTCTTTCTTTCTTTCTTTCTTTCTTTCTTTCTTTTCTTTCTTTCTTTCTTTCTCTCTCTCTCTCTTTCCCTCCTTCCTTCCTTCCTTCCTTTTGCTTTGGAAAATAGCTTGACCCCCTTCCTCCTCTCTGGGGCAGCCCCTCAGATATTGGAAGATGCTCTCCTGTCTCCCCTGGTCCTTCTCTTCACTAGACCAGCCATGTCTTCTGTCCATCTATGGTTCATTCAGATGTCTTTCTTTCTTTCTTTCTTTCTTTCTTTCTTTCTTTCTCTCTCTCTCTCTCTCTCTTTCTTTCCCTCCCTCCCTCCTTTCTTCCTTCCTTTTGCTTTGGAGAATAGCTTGACCCCCTTCCTCTCTCTGGGGCAGCCCCTCAAATATTGGAAGACGGCTCTCCTGTCTCCCTGGTCCTTCTCTTCACTAGACTAGCCATGTCTTCTGTCCATCTATGGTTCATTCAGATGTCTTTCTCTTTTTCTTTCTTTCTTTCTTTCTTTCTTTCTTTCTTTCTTTCTTTCTCTCTCTCTCTCTCTCTTTCTTTCCCTCCCTTCCACCTTCCCTCCCTCCCTCCCTCCTTCCTTCCTTCCTTTTGCTTTGGAAAATAGCTTGACCCCCTTCCTCCTCTCTGTGGCAGCCCCTCAAATATTGGAAGATGCTCTCCTGTCTCCCCTGGTCCTTCTCTTCACTAGACCAGCCATTGTGTGGGTTATGTTTTACTATACACCTTATTCCTTTGACTAGGGAAAAGACAAGGTAAGGGAGAAGACGAGATCCTTCCAACTCTGTTAATCTATCTATCTCCATCCTTTTCCTCTCTGTCTTTTTTCCTTCCTTCCTTCCTTCCCTCCCTTCCTCCTTCTCTTCCTCTTTTTTCTTTCCTTCCTTCCTTCCTCCTTTTCTCTTCCTTTTTCCTTCCTTCCCTCCATCCCTCCCTCCTTCCTCCTCCTCTCTTTCTCATTTCCTCCCTTCCTTCCTCCCTCCCTTCTTTCCTTGTTCTTCTTTCTTTCTTCCTTTCTTTTTTCTTTCTTCCTTCCTTCTTCTCTTGCTCTTTCTCCTTTTTTTCTCATTCATTTGTGTTCATTTTTATGTCCTTTTTACATTTTTTAAACAAAAAGTATACATCCATAAAAAGAAAACTCTACAATTTATACCTCCTCCTCAGAAGTTAAGCCCAACTGAAGGGTAAAGCCCTCAAGGTTAAAAAAAACAAGCAACTCAGAGATAAATCTTCCAGCAAAACAATTTTTCTCCAGCAGCCACAAAGCCTCACCGAGAAGGCAGACTTTGTCCTGTGGCTGAAAGCCAGCAAAGAGACTTGCTGCTACTGGAAAATTACTGGAAAACGTAAATCATCATATCGTCAACACGGAAAAGTTGACACCCAACCTAAGAGGCTGTTCTTCAAACAAACTTTTGTTTCTGGTTTCTCTCCTTGCAACTTTGCACTGATTAAAAAAAAAAAAAAATGGGAAGAAAGACATTTCGTCCTTCTAGGTCAAGGCTATCCAACTTCGGCAACTTTAAAACTTGTGGACTTCAGTTCCCAGAATCCCCCACTCCTCTTAAAGCAGGGCTGGCTGGGGAATTCTGGGAGTTGAAGTCCACAAAATCTTAAAGTTGCAAAAGTTGGACATCCCTGACGTAAAGGTAAAGATAAAGGTTCCCCTCGCACATATGTGCTAGTCGTTCCCGACTCTAGGGGGCGGTGCTCATCTCCGTTTCAAAGCCGAAGAGCCAGCGCTGTCCAAAGACGTCTCCGTGGTCATGTGGCCGGCATGACTCAACGCCAAAGGCGCATGGAGCGCTGTTCCCTTCCCACCAATGGTGGTCCTATTTTTCTACTTGCATTTTTTTACCTGCTTTCGAACTGCTAGGTTGGCAGAAGCTGGGAGAAGTAACGGGAGCTCACCCCATTCCGCGGCACTCGGGTTTCGAACCGCTGAACTGCCAACCTTTCGATCGACAAGCTCAGCGTCTTAGCCACTGAGCCACCACGTCCCTTATCCCTGACATAGATATTTTCAATTTCTTGGATGTATAACTTTTGGGTCACTTTAGCTGTAGTTTCTTACTTCCTTTCCAGCTTAATTTGAATGTTAATATTTGAGGTTGACACTTAATAAAGACTTTATTTAAAAAAATATATATGAATAAAGCTGTTCTTGCAGAATTGTCCCAGCCCAGGGATATGTCCGTGGGGATGGCCAGCGGGGAGTTTCCAGACTGATAAGAGGAATGGAAACCAAGTTGTACCAGAAACACGCAAGGACATGTTGAATTTGCAAAAGTGAAGGTTAACCGGAGCCGAAGCAGGCTGCAAATATTTACAGGGTTTTTGCTGTTGTTTTTTTTAAATGCGGAAGATGGTGGAACTGTCCTCTGCGAATGCAGGAAAGGGAAGGGAAGGGAAGGGAAAGGAAAGGAAAGGAAAGGAAGGGAAAGGAAAGGAAAGGAGGCAGAAGGGAAGGGAAGGGAAAGGAAGGGAAGGGAAGGGAAGGAAAGGAGGCAGAAGGGAAGGGAAGGGAAGGAAAGGAGGCAAAAGGGAAGGGAAGGGAAGGGAAGGGAAGGGAAGGGGAAGGGAAGAGAAGGGAAAAGGAGAAGAGGAAAGGAGAGAAGGAAAGGAGAGGAGAAGGGAAGGGAAAGGAAAGGAAAGGAAAGGAAGGGAAGGGAAGGGAAGGGAAGGGAAGGGAAGGGAAGGAAAGGAAAGGAAAGGAGGCAGAAGGGAAGGGAAGGAAGGGAAGGAAGGGAAGGGAAGGGAAGGAAAGGAAAGGAGGCAGAAGGGAAGGGAAGGGAAGGGAAGGGAAGAAAGAAGGAAAGGAAAGAAGGAGGCAAAAGGGAAGGGAAGGGAAGGGAAGGGAAGGGAAGGAGGCAAAAGGGAAGGGAAGAGAAGGGAGGGGAAAGGGAAAGGAAAGAGAAGGGAAGGGAAAGGAAAGGAAAGGAGGCAGAAGGGAAAGGAAGGGAAGGAAAGGAAAGGAGGCAGAAGGGAAGGGAAGGGAAGGGAAGGGAAGGGAAGGGAAGGGAAGGGAAGGGAAGAAAGAAGGAAAGGAAAGAAGGAGGCAAAAGGGAAGGGAAGGGAAGGGAAGGGAAGGAGGCAAAAGGGAAGGGAAGAGAAGGGAAGGAAGGAAAGAAGGAAAGGAAAGAAGGAGGCAAAAGGGAAGGGAAGGGAAGGAAAGGAGGCAAAAGGGAAGGGAAGAGAAGGGAGGGAAAAGGAAAGGAAAGAGAAGGGAAGGGAAGGGAAAGGAAAGGAGGCAGAAGGGAAGGGAAGGGAAGGGAAGGAAAGGAAAGGAAAGGAAAGGAGCTTCAGGAAGAATTTCCAGATGGGGAGAGCAGCTAAGTAGTGGGACTGCCTGCCTAAGAATTGTGTTTCTCAGTCTTGGAAACTTTAAGAGGAGTGGACTTCCACTCCCAGAATTCCCCAGCCACGTCACGTGATCAAAATTTGGATAACTTGAACTCGTATTTATGACGGTCGCAGGAGCTGGGGAAGCCACATTCACTTAACAACCGGGTTAGGAACTTAACAGCTCCAGTGATTGACTTTAACAATTGTGGTAAGAAGGGTCGTAAAATGGGGCAAAACTCGCTTAACAAATGTCTCACTTTACGACAGAAATTTTGGGCCCAATGGTGGTCGTAAGTCGAGGACTACCTATAAAAAAAGAGTGAATGCTAAAGATCAATGACTTCATTTACGGCTCTTTCTTGTTGGCCAAATACCTTGTTAATAAAATAATTAACTAACAAACACCAACCTTCTGGAACCTTCCTCTCGGAGTGCAAGGACCTGTGAAGAGAAAACGGGACAGGGGAGAATAGATATACAAGTAGTCTAAATATACAAATGGAGACCCTTTGAGAGTTGAATGCAAGGAAATTTCATTTTAATTGTATGCCGATTCTATTCTGTTCTGTTCTGTTCTGTTCTGTTCTGTTCTGTTCTATTCTATTCTATTCTTCTATCCTATTCTTCTATTCTATTCTAATTCTATTCTAATTCTAATTATTCTATTCTATTCTATTCTATTCTATTCTATTCTATTCTATTCTATTCTATTCTATTCTATTCTATTCTATTCTATTTCAAGCTCTATTCCAGTGGTAGTCCACCTGGTCCCTACTGCCCACTAGTGGGCATTCCAGCTTTCATGGGGGGCGGTAGGGGTTTTGTCCCTACTTTATAAATCACCATTACTGTGGAACCGGTGGGCAGTTAGAAAATTTTACTACTAACAGAGGTGGGCGGTAGGTATAAAAAGGTTGACTACCTCTGCTCTATTCTATTCTTGTTTCTCTTTTTGTTTCTTTTCATTTCTATTCCACTCCATATTTTATTTTATGTTCTATTCTATTCTATTCTATTCTATTCTATTCTATTCTATTCTATTCTATTCTATTCTATTCTATTCTATCCTTCTATTTAATTCTAATTCTAATTCTAATTCTATTCTATTCTATTCCATCCTTCTATTTAATTCTAACTCTAATTCTAATTCTATTCTATTCTATTCCATCCTTCTATTTAATTCTAACTCTAATTCTAATTCTATTCTATTCTATTCTATTCTATTCTATTCTATTCTATTCTATCCTTCTATTTAATTCTAATTCTAATTCTAATTCTATTCTATTCTATTCTATCCTTCTATTTAATTCTAATTCTAATTCTAATTCTATTCTATTCTATTCCATCCTTCTATTTAATTCTAACTCTAATTCTAATTCTATTCTATTCTATTCTATTCTATTCTATTCTATTCTATTTATCCTTCTATTTAATTCTAATTCTAATTCTATTCTATTCTATTCCATCCTTCTATTTAATTCTAACTCTAATTCTAATTAATTCTAATTCTAATTCTAATTCTATTCTATTCTATTCTATTCTATCCTTCTATTTAATTCTAATTCTAATTCTAATTCTATTCTATTCTATTCCATCCTTCTATTTAATTCTAACTCTAATTCTAATTTATTCTAATTCTAATTCTATTCTATTCTATTCTATTCTATTCTATCCTTCTATTTAATTCTAATTCTAATTCTAATTCTATTCTATTCTATTCCATCCTTCTATTTAATTCTAACTCTAATTCTAATTAATTCTAATTCTAATTCTAATTCTATTCTATTCTATTCTATTCTATTCTATTCTATTCTATTCTATCCTTCTATTTAATTCTAATTCTAATTCTAATTCTATTCTATTCTATTCCATCCTTCTATTTAATTCTAACTCTAATTCTAATTCTATTCTATTCTATTCTATTCTATTCTATTCTATTCTATTTATCCTTCTATTTAATTCTAATTCTAATTCTATTCTATTCTATTCCATCCTTCTATTTAATTCTAACTCTAATTCTAATTAATTCTAATTCTAATTCTATTCTATTCTATTCTATTCTATCCTTCTATTTAATTCTAATTCTAATTCTAATTCTATTCTATTCTATTCCATCCTTCTATTTAATTCTAACTCTAATTCTAATTTATTCTAATTCTAATTCTATTCTATTCTATTCTATTCTATTCTATTCTATTCTATTCTATTCTATCCTTCTATTTAATTCTAATTCTAATTCTAATTCTATTCTATTCCATCCTTCTATTTAATTCTAACTCTAATTCTAATTAATTCTAATTCTAATTCTAATTCTATTCTATTCTATTCTATTCTATTCTATTCTACTCTACTCTACTCTACTCTACTCTATTCTATCCTTCTATTTAATTTTAATTTTAATTCTATTCTAATTGAATTCTTATCCTATCCTATCCTATCCTATTCTTGTTGCTCTGGAAGACCAGTAGGGGGCAGCCTCCTCTTTAAAAAATGATTTTGCCAAATCTGAGCGTTGCACATGTTCTGGAGAGGAGCTGCCAAGGGGGAACCTCCAAAAGTTACAATCCCCCCCTTGCTAACGGCATGAGATTTGCAAGGTTGCATCAATCTGCAGACAAGGCCTGTGGGGAGCAGTGGGTCCCTGAAGCCCTGGAGGTAGTCTTTCACTTCCAACCACTCGTTTAATGACCGTTTGAAGTTATGACGGCCCTGAAAAAAGTGATTTATGACCATGTTTCACACTTATGACCATTTCTGCCTATGTCCCAGGTCACATGATCAAAATTCGGACCCTCGGCCACCAGCTCGCAGTTATGACGGCCGCAGTGTCCAGGAGTCCCCCGATCCTCTTTTGCGACCTCCTGGGGAAGCCAGATTCACTTAACAACCGTGCGACTCACTGAACCGCTGCAGCGATTCGCTTAACAACGGCGGCCAAAAGGTCGTAAAACGGGGCAAAATCTACTTGCCTAGCAACTGAAATTTGGGGTCCATTGTGGTCTAAGTCAAGGACTACGGTACCATTTGTTCAGCGTCATTGCAACATTAAACGGCCACTAAACAAGGTGTTGTAAGCCGAGGACCGTCTGTAGAGAAACACCATCAATCAATCAAATGAAGCCACTATCACCTCCTAATTGAAATTTCCCTTCTTTTGCAAGACCTGCAGATTCAAGCCGCTTCCCAGCAGAGAATCCCCTCATTTGGGACCAGAAAACATTTTCTCATGCAATCCTTGCCATATTTTTTTTTTTGTAATTGCACCTGGCCTCTGGTTCTCGGGCCTAGGACAACTGATAGGATCCATGAACTTCATTTAATGACGGGGAGGGAGGCAGACCGTACCTGACAGCTGAGTAAACCGATCGGTGGTTTGGGTGGCCACTCACACCTCTGGCGTCAAAGGTTACAACCTGGATGGAAAGAACCACAAAAAGCGATTGTGTGATATATATATATATTTAACTCAAGGGGAAGGTGTTCTCCACCTATCAACAGAATTACACAGGAAGGAAGGAAGAGAGGAAGGAAGGAAGGACAAAAGGGAGAGAGAAGGAAGGAAGGAGAAAAGGAAGAGAGAAGGAAGGAAGGAAGGTAAGGAGTGAAGAGGACAGGGGAGGGGAGAAAGGGAGGGAGGGAAGAAGAGAGGAAGGGAGGAAGAGAGGAAGGAAGGAAGAGGAAGGAAGAAAGGACAAAAGGGAGAGAGAAGGAAGGAAGGAGAAAAGGGAGAGAGAAGGAAGGAAGGAAGGTAAGGAGTGAAGAGGACAGGGGAGGGGAGAAAGGGAGGGAGAGAGGGTAGAAGAGAGGAGGGAAGGAGAGAGAGGAAGGAAAGAAGGAAGGGAGGAAGAGGGGAGACAAGGGTTAGGGTATAGTAGAGGTAAGAAAAGGAAGGGAGGGAGGATGGAAGGGAGGGAGGGAGGAAGAGAGGAAGGAAGGAAGAGGAAGGAAGGAAGGACAAAAGGGAGAGAGAAGGAAGGAAGGAGAAAAGGAAGAGAGAAGGAAGGAAGGTAAGAAGTGAAGAGGACAGGGGAGGAGAGAAAGGGAGGGAGGGAAGAAGAGGAGGGGAGGAGAGAGAGGAAGGAAAGAAGGAAGGGAGGGAGGATGGAAGGGAGGGAGGGAGGAAGAGAGGAAGGAAAGAAGAGGAAGAAGGAAGGAAGGACAAAAGGAAGAGAGAAGGAAGGAAGGAAGGTAAGGAGTGAAGAGGGGAGGGGAGGGACAGAAGAAGAGAGGAGGGGAGGAGAGAGGAAGAAAGAAGGAAGGGAGGAAGAGGGGAGACAAGGGTTGGGGTATAGTAGAGGTAAGAAAAGGAAGGGAGGAAGGATGGAAGGGAGGGAGGGAGGGAGGGAGGAAGAGAGGAAGGAAGGAAGAGGAAGGAAGGAAGGAAGGAGAAAAGGGAGAGAGAAGGAAGGAAGGTAAGGAGTGAAGAGGGGAGGGGAGGGACGGAAGAAGAGAGGAGGGGAGGAGAGAGGAAGGAAAGAAGGAAGGGAGGAAGAGGGGAGACAAGGGTTAGAGTGTAGTAGAGGTAAGAAAAGGAAGGGAGGGAGGGAGGAAGGGAGGGAGGGGAGAGGGGAGGAGAGGAGGAAAAAAGGGAGGGAGGGACAGGGGAGTTGTGGTAAGGATGCAGGGGGGTAGGGCAGGGTAGGAGAAGGAAGGAAGGAGAAAAAGGGAAGGGAGGGAGGGAGGGAACAGCGGAGGAGAGGGGAGTTTGACACCCCTGATTCAAGACCTTCGCATGTCTGTAAAGCAAAGAAAAGTTGAAGTAAATTGGAAATATTTAAAATACTAAATTACCAAATCAATGTGGTGGGTTTCGATTTGTGAGAGGATCAGCTCTGCGAGGAGAGGGACGTCCCACTCGGCAGACGGATGATCTGGAAGTTTCCTAGAAATGAATAAAGGAAGGAAGGAAGGAAGGAAGGAAGGAAGGAAGGAAGGAAGGAAGGAAGGAAGAAAGGAGGAAGGAGAAAGAAAGAAAGAGAGGGAGGGAGGGAGGGAGGGAAAAAGGAAGGAAGGAAAGAATGAATGAAAGAATGAAAGAAAAAGAAAGAAAGGGAGGGAGGGAGGGAGGAAGGAAGGAAAAGGAAGGAATGAAAGAATGAATGAAAGAAAGAAAAAAAGAAAGAAAGAAGAAGGAAGGAAGGAAGGAAGGAAAGAAAAGAAAAGAAAGAAAGGGAGGGAGGAAGGAAGGAAAAGGAAGGAAGGAAAGAATGAATGAAGAAAGAAAAAGAAAGAGGAGGAAGGAAGGAAAGAAAAGAAAAAGAAAGAAAGAAAGAAGAAAGAAAGAAAGAGAGGGAGGGAGGAAGGAAGGAAAGAATGAATGAATGAAAGAAAGAAAGAAAAGAAAGAAAGGGAGGGAGAAAGGAAGGAAAAGGAAGGAAGGAAAGAATGAATGAATGAAAGAAAGAAAGAAAGAAAGAAAGAAAGAAAGAAAGAGGAAGGAAGGAAGGAAGGAAGGAAGGAAGGAAGGAAGGAAGGAAATAAACAAAAATAAAATTCTAATTCTAACACAAACCATGCAATCTCATATGGCCTTTAAAAACCTGAAGGATTCTCACCTAGAAATCCAAGTGAATTTATTCTCTGTTTCCCCAAAAGGAAGGACCAGAAAGAGTGGATTAAAAATACAAGGGAAGAATTTCAATATGCGAGAATGTGTGTAGCTTGGGATTGAACTGTGGGTTCCTGGATGCTCTCTGAACTTGGTGTTTTTCTTGCAGACGTTTCATGACCCAACTAGACAACCTCATCAGTGCTAGAAGGGAAAGGAGTTCGAGGAGGAGGAGGAGGAGGGGGAGGAGGAGGAGGAGGAGGAGGAGGAGGAGGAGGAGGGGGAGAGGAGGAGGAGGAGGAGGAGGAGGAGGAGAAGAGGAGGAGGAGGAGGAGGAGGAGGGCTGTGGGGTCCTTGGTGCTCTCCGAGCTTGGTTGTTTTCTTGCTAGACATTTCATGACCCAGTTAGGTAACATCATCAGTCCTAGAAAGGAGTGACGTTCGCTCTCTCTTTATATACAAATGGCTTGCCACATCAATCAAGGAGGAAGCCAAATTCACTTAACAACCAGGTTACTAACTTAAGAACCGCAGTGAAATTGCAAAATGGGGCAAACCTCCCTTAACTATTATCTTGCTTTAACGAGAGACGTTTTGCGCTCCGTCCATTGCGGTCATACGTCGAGGACTGCCCCTTCTTGTTCCTCGGGACAATAGCAAACGAATCTTTTAAAATCTACCAGAGGCCACTGGAGCCGGGCAAAAGATTAGCGTAATTATTATTTTGACTGGCTCAAATCCTGATAAGCTGCCATTTAAAAATCCCAGATCGAAAGCGAAGGAACATATAGATTTTAAAGCCAGAAATATTTTTATTTTATTATTTATTTATTTATTAATTGAATTTCTATACCGCCCTACTCCCGAAGGACTCAGGGCGGTGTACAGCCATGAAATAAAACACATAAATATACAAAATTTAAAATCAAATAAAATAAATTAAATAAATTTGGCTGAATTTATATCCATAATTTAAAATACCCATAATTTTAAAATACAATTAAAAATTTAAAATTTCATTTAAAAGGGAGAAAATTTAGGCGAGGCCCGCTTGATGAAATAAAAGCGTCTTCAACTCGCGGCGGAAGGTGCGCAGATCCGGGATCCTCCGTATCTCTGGGGGGAGCTCATTCCAGATCGTCGGTGCCCCCACAGAGAAGGCCCTCCCCCTAGGGGCCGACAGCCGACATTGTTTGGCCGACGGCACCTGGAGGAGCCCTTCTCTGTGGTAGCGTACTGGTCGGTGGGAGACTGTTGGTGGTAGTAGGCGGTCCCGTAGATAACCAGGTCCTAAGCCATGGAGTGCTTTAAAGGTGGTAACCAGAACCTTGAAGCGCACCCGGAAGACCACCGGGAGCCAGTGCAGCTCGCGCAGGAGAGGTGTTACATGGGAGCTCCATGTTGCTCCCATAACCACCCGCGCGGCGGCACTCTGCGCCAGTTGGAGCCTCCGGGTGCACCTCAAGGGGAGCCCCATGTAGAGAGCATTACAATAGTCCAGACGAGAGGTGACGAGGGCATGAGTGACTGTGCGTAACGAGTCCCGATCTAGAAAGGGACGTAACTGGCGAATCAGGCGAACCTGATGAAAAATCCTCCCGGTCACGGCCGTCAAGTGCTCTTCTAAAGACAGCCGTGAATCCAGGAGGACGCCCAAGTTACGAGCCCCTTCCGTGGGGGCCAATGATTCGCCCCCAATAGCCAGCGATGGCACCAGCTGACTATATCGGGACGTCGGAAACCACAGCCACTCGGTCTTGGATGGGTTGAGCCTGAGCCCGTTTCTCCCCATCCAGATCCGTACGGCCTCCAGGCACTGGGACATCACTTCAAGGGCATCGTTGGGGTGATCCGGGGTGGAGATGTACAGCTGAGTGTCGTCAGCGTACAGATGGTACTTCACCCCAAAACCACGGATGATCTCGCCCAGCGGCTTTACATAAATGTTGAACAGGAGGGGCGAGAGAACCGATCCCTGCGGCACCCCACATATAAGGGGCCTCGGGGTCGATCTCTGCCCCCCTGTCAACACAGACTGCGACCGGTCAGAGAGAAAGGAGGAGAACCACCGTAAAACGGTGCCTCCCACCCCCAACCCTTCCAGCCGGTGCAGCATGATACCATGGTCGATGGTATCAAAAGCCGCTGAGAGGTCTAACAGGACCAGGACAGAGGAACAACCCCTGTCCCGAGCCCTCCAGAGATCATCAACCAACGCGACCAATGCCGTTTCCGTGCTGTACCCAGGTCTGAAGCCCGACTGGAACGGATCTAGATACGACGCTTCATCCAGGTACTGGGGTAGCTGTCGCGCAACCACACTCTCAACAACCTTCGCAACGAAGCAAAGGTTGGAGACTGGACGATAGTTAGCCAATACTGCCGGGTCCAGGGAAGGCTTCTTGAGGAGAGGCCTTACCACCGCCTCTTTCAGGGCGGCGGGGAAGACACCCTCACCCAACGAAGCATTTATAATCCCCTGGAGCCAGCCTCGCGTCACCTCCCGGGAAGCCAGCACTAACCAGGAGGGACACGGGTCCAACAAACATGTGGTCGCGTTCAATCTACCCAGAATCCTGTCCACGTCATCTGGGGTCACAGGATCAAACTCATCCCAGATAACAGTCTCAAAACCTGTCTCCATCACCCTCTCTGGATCTATCGCGTCAGAGTCCAGACCTGCCCGAATCTGAGTGATTTTGTCATACAGATACTGAACAAAATCCTCGGCTCTTCCCTCCAAGGGGTCCTCCCGCGCTTCCTGGTGGAGCAGGGAGCGGGTCACCCTAAACAGGGCGGCCGGGCGATTATCTGATGACGCAATAAGAGCAGCAAAATGAGAACACTTTGCTGCTTTTATCGCCACTAGGTAATTCCTAATATGAGATCTTACCAGTGTTCGGTCAGATTCAGAAAGACTAGCCCTCCAACAGCTCTCTAGGCGTCTTTTCCGGCGCTTCATCTCCCTCAGCTCCTCGGTGAACCAAGGAGCCAGGCGAGATCGGCGCCGGGTCAGAGGCCGCAAAGGCACGACTCGATCCAGGGCTCCAGCCGCCGCCCTATCCCAGGCGGCAACTAGGTCCCCAGATGAGGCGTGAGCCAGAACCTCCGGGATTGGCCCAAGTTCCATCTGGAACCTATCAGGTTCCATCAGGCGCCTGGGGCGGTACCATCTTACGGTTCCGCCTCCCTTTTTGTTAGGTATCTTGCCAGAAAAATACAATGAAGGGAACGTATATTTAATATTACACGTTTGGACGGCAGCAGCAAGAATTGTATTTGCACAACATTGGAAAAATGAGGAAACTCTTCCAGATGAAAATATAATTAAAAAAAAAAATATTAAGAGTGTGGGGAAATGGATAGGTTAACTTTAAAGATAAAGGATAAAGAGGATACAGAATATTTTTTTAACTTGGGATTTGTTTTACCAATGGTTAGATAATTAAAGTAGAAATTAGAAGTGGGAAGAATATTACTATATATAAATAAAATTATTATTATTATTATTATTATCTCTTTTATTCATTAAACATGAAACTCAAGTCAACTGAACATTTAAAAATGTGTCACAAATATGATTGACTGGTGCTAATGGTTGATACGGGTTGCTGTCAGCGTCCTAGGTATATATGATGTTCTGAGTAGATAGATGTTCTGAATTATTATTATTATTATTATTATTATTATCATTATTATTATTATTATTATTATTATTATTATTATTATTATTGGTTAATCTTTAGTGAGATTCACAGCCTTTGAGGCTGGTTAATAGTTCAGCAGCTCAAGTCCTAACCAAGACCTAGGAACTGTTAAGGTATCGTCGGAGGATGTAAGCTGTTCCGAGTAAGTCAAAATTATTATTATTATTATTATTATTATTATTATTATTATTATTAGTTAATCTTTAGTGAGATTCACAGCCTTTGAGGCTGGTTAATAGCTCAGCAGCTCAAGTCCTAACCAAGGACCTAAGAACTGTTAAGGTATCGTCGGAGGATGTAAGCTGTTCCGAGTAAATCAAAATTATTATTATTATTATTATTATTACTATTATTATTATTATTATTATTATTATTATTATTATTATTTACTTTATTCATTAAGCATGAAACTCAGTCAACTGAACATTTTAAAATGTATCATTTTAATTATATAATAATGATAATGATAATAATAAAAAGACCCAAACAATACACCGTTTATTGAATACTTATGCATATTAAAGAAAACTGTATAAATATATATATATTTTTTAAACAGCGAAGCTGGCATTCTTTTTCACACAATTAACTGATTACCAGAGTTGGAAGGGACCTTGCAGGTCATCT